CCGTGCTGCGCCGCCTGCGGGAGGCCGAGTGAGTGCTGCGCCTAGAGTGCACGCCACCCTCAGGCTCCCCAACCCGGAAGTGGGTGTGCTAACAGGCTGGGGAAGGCTGAGCTCACGTCGGGTTGCAAGCTGTGTGTGAAACTGCCTTTCCCGTTACTGCAGTTACAACAGCTTGTCATCCTATACCTCAGCTTGCCGTTTTGGGGGATGGAGGTGGAGTTAGGATTAGGTGTTGTGTTGCTGACCGGAAAGCATTTCCTGGCCCCTGGGAAACTCCAGAGCCCGGATTTCCTGTTCGCGTTATGCCCTGTGTTGATTGTTTTCTGTAGTTGGCTGGGGTTTGGGTTTTATTTATTTATTTGAGGTTGAGCGGGGTGTGTGTCACAGTTCATTTGTGGAGCTCAGAGGAACATTCGTTTCACTGCATGGGTTAGGGTGATCAAACACAGGTTGGTAGGCTTGGCTGGCAAGTGCCTTCACCTTGTGAACCGTCTTCCAAGCTTTGGTTTTAGGTTTGTGAGGCAGGATCTCTTAAGCTAGCCCAGCAGGTCTGGAACTGGAGGAGATTCTGCCTGTCTCTCCTAATGCTGCGATTACAGGTGTGGTCCGCACCCCACATTGGTTTTTGTTAACAGTATTGTAAATCGAGGTTGCATCGTGAACACAGTGGTCAACATTGGCATCTGCGGTTGACCGAGCAGCAGCTATGTGCACAGACTTTTACATCCTGCATACTCACAGCCCCATTAGGATCTTGGGCACTCAAAGAGACATGCAAAGGTCATTGTTGCAGACCCAGGCTTTGGTGACATCAAATCCTATGCTTCTACATCTCCAACCATCTCCCCACAGCTTGGTCTGTACCTTCTTACAGGGCACATAGACGGAGCCCACCATACACAGGCTACTCCGTGTTCTTGCCTTTTCTAGTTGTGGTCTTGCAGGGCTAAGTTACAAATTTGGGTAGCATTTCAGATGGGTCAGAATGGCTATGACAAGGGTGCCAAGTTAGACTCAAAAAGCAGTTGTTGTCCAGAAGTTACCTTGGAATGGAAATTGCTGGCAGTGTGGCTGAGGGGGCAAGTAGGAATTCCACAGTCTCTGAAGAGAGGAGTGAAGGTGGCAGAGGCCTGAAGAACTTTCAAGGCACTCAACAGATGGCTGCTGTTTCCTCTGCTTTTTCAGAATCTCCCAGAGTTGCCTGCATCACCTAACACCCCTATTGGGGTGTGGTTATCACTGCTGACTCCTGAGCATAGAGAATCTGATCCAGAGCTACCTAGAATTTTCAAAGTACTTTAGTGTGTTAGTGTCTCCTTTCCCTTATGAGGAATGTAGGTCACCTCCGGGCAGTTTCTCTCCTCTCTTCATCCCCCTAAACACTGCCTCTGGCATATTTTACTTCACTGTTGACTGCTTTGCCCTAGGCGGTAGAAACCAGTTGACTTGAATAAGAACCCAACCCTTGGACTTTCTCTTTGACTTTCCCTGTAAGGTTATTTATAATGGGAAAGCTGTTTCTTGAGTGCCTCCTGGGTAACTTATTTAGTCCTTCCTGTTACTCTACAGTCTTAAGAGAAGGAAACTCTGATCAGAAACAAGGATTTCCCAGTATTTATTGACCTGCATCTGCTAGGCCAAAGATGCAGAACAGACCCAGACCATCCCTAGGAAACCAGAACTCTGGAAGGAGGTCCTTTTTTTATCCCAGCAGTCACCATCCAGGCCATGGGCACATCACTCAGTAAGGGCCACCTCTGCATTGAAGGATCCTACATCCTCTGTGTATCTGCCTCTTGGTCAGGGCTAGGATGGCCCAAAAGAGAAGGGAGATGACCCTGCCGTTTCTTCTTAGGGAGGACCTTTGGAACTCCGATTTCTGTGATTCAGCACTGGGTGAGTATCATCTGGCATGGAGGGGTGGCATGGGAGTGGAAGAAGGGCCTGCCTGAAGGCCAGGCAAAGGACATTCTTCTTTGAAGGGCATTTTTCTTCACGGCCTTGCTTTGATGGGTTCTAATGCTCACTTGTGCAGAGCCCAGTCTGTGGCACTTACTAAATCTGAAATGGAGATGGTAGTGCATATAGCCTGCAGTTTATAAATCCTGTTGTTTTGAAAATTAAGTAAGGTGACTGCTTAGCTGTCACACCGAAGGCAATAAATGCTATCATTCATTATCGGGATGGCTAAATGCTATATTTATCCTGCTCTTTCCTTGTGTCACAGTGCAGACCTTCCCCTTGCAGTTATGCCCTCAACACAGTGTGTGTCAACATGGTTCTTAGTGAAAGTCAGACACCGTCATGTTAATCACTCAGTTGCCTCTCATCTGCAAGATGGCTGCAGTCCCCAGCGTTGGACTGTTAAATGAAAGGCAGTATCAGGCTACTACCCAGAATGTTTTAGGGTTATCTTTCTAGCAAGGACATAGGCAGTTTCTTGTATAGACTTCCCTCACCTGGGGAACCTGTGCATAGATAGCTTTGCCTCCTTGGTGAGCGAAAACAGCTTGTTTAGTGCCTGAACAAATAACTTTTGTTTATGATGGTAACGTAAAAGGAGGGCCAGGAGGTGGTGGAGACAGTGTTTTGACCCTGGCCACTCAATTCTCTTTGTAGAGGCCATCAGCATCCTACATGCCCTTCAAGGGCTTCCTGACAATCTGCACAAATGTCTCAGTCATGTTGTTTTAGATGTAAACCCTTTTAACACAATCTTAGGTCTGAGGTAGTAGAGTTCAGGATCCCACTTGCGGTGGCTTCACTCTGGGTGTCGAGGCCCTTCTGTCCTGGCTCCAGGGGTCAGTGACTGTATTTGGGGAAATGATCTTTCAGAAACCATCACCCAGTGTCTTAGAAAACAGCTGGAGCAGCTGCAGGACCTAAGGGAAGCCCTTGGAAGGCTGACCCTCAGCTCATCACCTGGTGGGTCGGGAGAGTCCTCAGCCAGGAGCACTTCCCCTGTGAGGTGTGTGTGCTATGGTCTTGGGAACTTCGCCTCTAGTGTCACTGCTCGGAGCCAGCTCGCTTTTATGCTTCTTTTCCTGGAGAAGTGCCAGGTGAGTGCTGTCTTCATCATTGTTGTCTCCTCCTGTACCTGGCATGGTGGCAGCGTGCCTAGAACTGAAGCAGCCCCTCTTCCCATCCAGATCCCCAGAAGCCACTGCCAGGTCTATGACCCTCTGTTCAGCCAAGCTGAAGTTTCAGTGCTCACTTCCCTCGGTGTGACTGTCCTCTGTGAGAATGAGGTAGGTGATGTCATCTCCTCCAAAACACCCACCTCTGCCAGTGAACAGACTTTCTGTGACTTGTCGCGTCACCTGGCCCCAGCATGCTGGCCTTCCTAGAGCCTGTGGAAGCCCAGTAACCAGCTTCATTTAAGACAGTTACATCCCACAGTGAAAACTTGAATCAGCACCATAAACTAGTGTGATAGGTTTGCAAAACCCTTAAGTTTTAAATCCAGGGCTGGAGAGATTAAAAGCACTGGCTACTACTCCAGAGGCTACTACTCTAACATCCAGGTGGAGGCTTACAACCATCTGTAACTCTAGTCCCAGGGAACATGATGCCCTTTTCTGGCCCCTGCAGGCACCAGGCACACACATAGTGCACAGACATGTGAACACTATAACACATAAAAAATTAAAAACAAACAACAAAAACATAGGGCTGGAATGGTGTAGATCCTATTTGGGTTTTATGTGAGTTCTGGGAATCACTCAGGTTGACCTGGCATCGTTGGGTGGAAAGCACCTTTATTCCGCTTCTCCTGGCTCTGACAGTCTCTGGAGCCAGGATGGTTTCAGCCTCGTGATCCTGCGGCCTGAACAGTGAGTGAGTGGTGAGTCCCTACAACACTTACTTCAGACCAGCCTGTGCATGCTGTGCTGGCTCTGTACAGAGAAGAGTGAGTGAGGCCCAAGGCACCTATAACCAGTAGGGACCACGTACAGCATCAAGGTTGGCTTCTGCACAGAGGGAGAGCCACAAGGGCTGTGTCCAAGACCACGGGCATCTACTCCTGTGGAGGCAGCCAAGGGAAGCCACCATGCTGCAGGGAGAGGAGTACAGAGGGAGGCATGGCCAGCCAGCGGTTAGTTAAGAGGTGTTGCATGGGAATCAAGATTCACTAGACTCAGTATAGGTTAAGTGAAGTTTACTCAGGGAGAATGCACTTACACAAGAGGCGGGTGACCGCCACAGGTTCCAGCTCCAAGGATCCTCCCAGGGTGTTCCCTGTGACCTGACCAGAAGCAAGAGAAAGCTCTAGAGTCCAGGACTGTAGATCTAGTCCTCTCCTCCTCTGTCATGTCCTCACCTGTGACCATGCCCACATGGGCGTGGTTAGTGCTACAGGTGTGGGCAGGGGTGATATCTCACTACAATTCCCTTTTGGTCTAAAGAAAAAGATTTAGGCTTGATACAAAAATATATACAAAGATAGCAAATATCAAGTATGCTCTAGGAGAAGGAAAAATAAGAACAAACACACCTAAGACCTATTGCCAGTGACACAACTAGAGCAAATGGCAAGAGCTACACATTCAGTCCTAGGGTAAAGCCATAACAGAGATTACTACAGAGTTATCCTAAGCTGGAAAGTTTAAGACTTGTATCTAATATTTCTATCTAGGAAGAGAGAACAATAATTGTGACAGTCGTAATCTCCAACCTCATCAAAGACCTGAGAAGGAGGATAACAATACTAGGCTAGGCAGGAAGTGCAGGTGAGCAACTTCCAAAAGGTGCAGCGAAGACAGAAACAGCAGGCTACCTGGACAGTCACCCAGAGTCTCACTGCAGCGTAGGGGCAGCCAGCTTTGGCTAAGGCCTAGAGTATCTGACTGACCAACACAGAAGCAGGGAGTCTTACCCTGATTTGGCAAGATTCAGCAGTCTTCTAAGTTTATCTCCTGCAAGCACAGTAGGACAGCATGTCCAAAGTCAGTGGTCAAGGTGGGGCCAGTTCTTTGCCCAAGGGGGCCATTAGCCAAGGAGAGAATGGACTCCAGAAGGAGTGTCATCAGCTCCCAACATTTTTTTGGGAAAGCTCGGTGCTGTCAGGAGCTATTGTGCCTCATGTCAACAGAGTACTAATAGTAAAACATTTAAATGCCATATTCTTCAGGTCTATGAAGTGTTTGAACATCAAATATCTATGTCTGTCTGACTAATCTCATAGATAAGAAACCTGGGTGGTAAAAGTCTATAGTTCTCAGAAACATAGTTGTACAATGGCTGAAACTTCCCAAAATAATCTAACCAGGACAATGACTTCAAAAAATGTAACTATATACATATGTATAATTCTCAATAATAGAGATAGAACTGAAATGACTAGAGGTAGAACTGTAAAGTGCAATATGATAAAATATCCTAAGTTGTATCAATGATCAAAATGTATATACATCAAGATAGTTTTATATTTGTGTGCAAAACATCGTAAACAGAAGACCCTAAGCAGTCAACATACAATAATCTAACAATTTAAGTTATCTGTAGCTAACAGTTGATCAAAATGTATATACATCAAGATAGTTTTATATTTGTGTGCAAAACATCGTAAACAGAAGACCCTAAGCAGTCAACATACAATAATCTAACAATTTAAGTTATCTGTAGCTAACAGTTGCTAAAGTTAGTTCACTAGAAAATAGGTTAATTACCTATATTCCATCTTAACCATACCTTTCCCATCCATATCCTTAAACTTATCTAAAAGTCTGAGAGTCTGCTCATCACCTTCCATGCCCAACCCTAAACAACCCTATGCAGGTGAATACTATCCCTCAAAGCCAACAGTACGGGAAAGGAGTGTTGTTTTCTTAGGATTACTTCCCATCCCCGTTGAAATGGGGGACCCCATTTGAAATAACTCCATGGGGTCCTGCAGGGAAAACAAAAACAAAAACAAAAACAAAAAACAGAAACTAGAACAAAAAGTCTCAAGAGGACCAGCCGTAACATTTGTAGCTAGTCTCTGTGGCTAGAGATGCTTGACTGAAGTTCTTGTCTGAAACTCTGGCCAGAGTATAAGAAGAAGGTGCACCATTTCAGCTAGCTAGTCTGGAGTTGTCTCAAGCCTTATAGTCCCAAACCAGTTTTAGGGTGGTGTTTGTTAGTTCAGAGGCAGCAAGTTGAATCAACTAGAATTGTTGAAGTGGGGCCCCATCTTCTTTCCAGAGAGTTCATAAATTGCAGTTAGGAAATTTTTTGTTTACTGTAGAGGACTTAAACATTAATATCAGCACAGAAATTTCAATTTCCATGGGTAAACATACAGGGAAAGGTAACAATAAGGATAAAAATAAGAATGAGGAAAATTAAGATTTTAGAGATTACAGAGTTAAGACAATAGTAGTCTTAGATTTTGTTTTCTTCTGACTTACACCAATGGCCTTTTGGTATGAAGCAGAAACTCTAGATTTTAAACATGTTTGAATTTGGAGAAGGAAGGCCAAGTCTGAGCATGGCCAGACAGCTGTTAGTTAAGAGTTGACTGTGACCCCACTGTGATGAGGATCTGCAGTGACACAGGGTGCCTGGAAAGATTCTGGAATGTAGGACATGGGGACAGTCGTCACATGGAATAAAGTGAGCTCCAGTTCCTTTCCTGTGCAGCCATCTAGCTTACATCTACATCACTGATGTAGCCATGCCACAGAAGAGTTAGGCTTTGCACTCAGCTCCCTAGCACCCATTCTGCTATGGCTTCCACAGGAAGGCAAGCGCAGCACCCAAGGCCAACCCACCATCTTCTACATGCCACATTGTGGCACAGCTCTATACAACAATCTGCTGTGGAGCAACTGGTCCATAGACGCCCTTTCCAGGGTGGTCATCATTGGGAACAGTTTCCAGTGCATCGAGGAAAGGTGAGCTATTGTGACCACCAGGCCCACCTACGGGCAGAAGGGCTTTCCATCCCCATAAGGGACTGGGTGGAAAGGTTTAAGGCAGGCATCAACCCCCGAGTCCAGCTTAAAGCACTCAAGGAACCTACAAATAATCGCCTCTTCTGGGGGAAAAGCATGTGTGAGTAGCCATGCTTTATGTGTGAAGACCACACTCTTAATGTACTTTTGAAGTGCCTGCCTGTGCCACCCCACAGATGCTCTTCCCTACAGATGCTTGCTGGGGCATCACATTCCACAGCCCCCAACCCTTTCTGAACTCATCTTATTTTTCTATCCATTATTAAAAAAAAAAAAACCATCCACATATCCTCGCTGATTGTGTATAAATACATTTATTTCTAGGTTGTTGGCAAGGATTCTGCAGAAAAATTATCCCTACATTGCAAAGGTATCTCACAGAATAGTGAGAGTGGCGGGGGATGGGGTGGGGGGATGTGTGCCCCACTACCCACTGATGTTTCTAAGCATACAAAGCATAATGTACTGGCAGGGGCCCTTCCCTGGAACCCGTAAGTGCCCAATTCCCTTCATTCTCAGGGTGAGTCCAGCATTCCCACTACCATCAGGACTGAAAAGCATTGATAGACAAATCCCCATTTATTTTTCAAAAGGACAGTGGGGTTGCCAGTGAAGGGAAGGTACACCAGGAGAGCAGGGTTGTGCCTAATGCCTATGTCTGGACCCTCTGCTCAGATTGTGAAGAGCCTGGAGGAGTTCCCACTGCCGCAGACTCCACGCTACATGGACACCTTTAATGACACTTCTGTCCACTGGTTCCCTCTGCTGAAGCTGGAGGGACTTCCCAGGAACCTGTGGGCATCTCAGGAAGAACCTGACTACCAGGACTGCGAGGACCTGGAGATCATCAGGAAACAGACAGGCTGAGCTCAGCTGGCATAGCAGGACAGTATCTGCCACCTGGGCCAGGAGCCATGCTGCAGACCATGCCATCTCCTTTGCCAGGCAAGAAATACAGCCCAGGCTGCTGGTATCACATCACATTCTGCTCTGGTGGCCTGGTCTCCCAAATAGAGACATTGTTTGTAAAGTCAGTTTAAAGTGCTGTTTATTCACACCTGACTGGTGCAGGGCCCTGATGTCTACTTGGCCATGTCTATGAGGCTCTGCAGGGAGGTGGGCACCCAAGTCTTCTCACCCTGCACAAATACCACACCCCGGTCGATGTAGATGACAATCCGGCCAAAGGTGTAGAGCTGTTTGCCCTCATGCCGCTTGCCAATGACAGGCATGAACACAATGTTGTGCTCTTCTGCCTTGGTCTCAATGAGGTCCTTGAAGTTCATAGGCACAGAGCTGGCAGCCACACCGATGCCCCTCTGAGCCATATTCTCAGCCTCACGGCGTTCCTGCATGGCCTCATACTGGAAGTCCTTCCTGCGCTCCGTGTGGGTGAGGTAGGCAATATTCTCTCGTGCACCTGGCTGCATGTAGGCACCTGAGAGAGGGAGGACAGTGAGGAGAGGTGACCCCAAATGTACAGAACCCAACATGCATTATGATGGCATGGTGTGTCCTCTGTTTAAGGACCCAGGCACTAATACATGGTCACTGCATAATTGAAGAGAGACATATCACAAAATTGGTACATGAACTTGCAGCTAATATCAAATGCCAGAAGCGAATCTGTTAGTATCGGATGAGATGTGGACAAGGGCTGGGCCCAGAGGTGGCCTCCCGAAATCACCACCCACAAGGTCACCTCATAGTCTATCATGGCCTTTGCTGCCTCTACTTTCCCCTTGTCCACAGTGGCTCCTGCCCTCAAAGAATGGAAATCGGGGGTTGGAGATTTGGCTCATTGATAAGGAGTATGTATTGTGCTTGCAGAAAATCCAGCTTGATTGCCAGCACCCACTTCAGATACCCACAACTATCTAACTCCAGACCATGGGATCTGATAGCCTCTTCTGGCCTCCCCTGGCACTGCACTTGTGTGTATTACGTGAGCCACGTAGCAATGTGACTGTGCTGTAATACAGCAATCCTGGGCCCCCAACAGCAAGCAGTGATACACAAGGACCTGTAGTGATAGATCTGCCTCCACACCTGCAACACTGACCACACCTTTTAGGCGTGGCCATACAGGTTTGGGGTCAGAAGCCCCTTTGGGTCACCAGAGCATCAGGGAGCAGAAACGCTACAGCAGTTACTTACTGTTTTCCGTGTTTTAAGTTATTTACTAATAAACTCCACTTAATACTGGTCTGGTGAATCCTAATATCCATGCCTTTAAGGACCCAGCTGCCAAGTGCCACAGACATGAGCTCAGCCATCTTGTAGCCCATGAAGTAGGCACAGAGCATTGCTCAGAAAGGAGCAACTGCCAAGTTCTGTCTATGCAGAGCAGTGTGGGAAACCTGCCTGGAGTCAGACCCACTCTTGTCAGCCTCTGTCACAGGACAACAGGGTGGGAGCTGTAAGTAGCAGTCCACTGGACACTGTCCCAGGAGTAAAGTGACTGGTAGAGTGGCCTCACAGAAGACCAAAAGCAGTGGGAGTCAATGTCATGTTTAGGAACCAAGGCCCGAACACACCCCCAACAGGAACCCTACTCACCCACATTGGAGGACACAGCCCTGTTCATGATGTCAAGTGCTTCGTTGAACTTGTCCTTGACGGAGGGATGTGCCAACACCTGGTCTGAGAACATGGATTTCCAGCCCAGGTACCACTTGGTGATCTCCTCGTAATTGGGGCTGTTACTGAGCCAGGAGCATAGCACCTGCCAAAGGACACCAGACACTGAGCCAGTGGCCACACACTGGACAGGAGGCTGGACCACAGCAGCGGGAGCAGTGTCCCCAGGGGCTACTTGCTGTCTGCAGCGCTGCTCCTCCTAGCAGCCCACATCACAGGGCTCGTGGAGTTGCAGCATCTAGCAATTATTAGAATCTAGAGCCAGCCTGTGGCCTACATGTGCTGGACCTAAATCTCTACATCCCCAGACAGGTTCGGTGAGGAGCTGAGGTGAGACAATACCATGCCTTGACAGCAATGCGCACTGAGGACCCCTGGGCTCTCACCCCACCCTGCCCTCCTGGGCCACACAGCACACCTGAAGCCACTTGGGGAAGAAATGCTTCTCCAGCAGCCCCACCAGGCTTGAGACAGAGATCATCCCTTCCCAGTCCATCACCCAATAGAAGGCGTCCATATGCTGCTGGTGGGGGTTGATGACGAGTTCACCCAGACACATGCCTGCAAGAGAGATGGTCCCTGGCTCAGCTTCTGCAGTGGCAAAGCTATGGAAGCACAAAGTGCTATCCAGCAGACCCTTCATTTTGTGGTCTGCTCTTTCCTTCCACCCCAGGATCACAAGCATTTTGAGGCCAGTGGCTTTCTGGACCTGAGGCCCAAACTAGCCCCGTCAGGGAAAAAAAAAACCACAAGGCACAGAGAGCGCCCAGAGTCACCACTGCAGACCTTAGTGAGAGCAGAACATGGTCACAGTCGTGAACAGACCACCAGAAGGCCCTGGTTCCACTCCACTTCCACCTCTGCCATAAGCAGCACGCTTTTGTGGTGGAACACTAAGTAAACCACACATGGCCCACTTGTCCCTGTCTCCTTACCCAGCTTGGGCACGATGTTCCTGAGCATGAAGGCCTCCCAGGATCCAGGGGTAAGGACCTCTTTCCAGGGCTGCAAGATGAGCTTAGCTGAAGCATCACTGGGGTGCCACTTTTGCAGGGCGCTGGACAGCTTGCTGCGGACAGGGGAATAGAGCGGCTCCAGGCGTGCCTGCATGAGGGGCAGCCATGGGTGGATCCACGAGTGGATGGGAACGGTGTCTGTCAAGGGGTTCCAGTTGTCCACCTGCAGGGTGAATGGAGAAGGACGAGCATTGTAGTCCATGGACAGTTCATGACACACTAGTGCTGTCCTTAGGAAAGAGGCATGTGTGTCCTGAACACGGGCCACAGTCCTCAGTGTGGATGTGGAGGGTAAGATCCACCATGGAGGCAAATGGCAGGCACAGAAGCTGCTAAGCTGCCTCCCAGGCAGTTTGTACTCTAGGTCCCTCCACAGAGAAAAAACAAATGCACCCGTGCCACCAACTCCAACCTCAGCATAGCTCAAGGTTCACTAAAGGTACTGAGGAAATGAACTCCCTCTTGAGGGAGGCAGGAAGGGGATACTTTGGAAAAGGCTGAATAAATACTGTAGGACATTAACAAAGCCCTTCAGCCCCAAGAGTCTGGTGGCTTGGGTGACCAGAGACACTGCCGGAGCTCTGCCCTACCTCCTTCTGCAGCTTGGGGAAGATGAGCTGGTCCAGGATATTGTCCAGGATCCACACAGGGATGATGTGTGCCCAGCTGTCCAGGAAGTCCACCATCGGGTCACAGTTCCTGGGCTGCCACTGGGCGACAACATTCCGGACAAAAGGCATCCAGACCTCCCACATGAGCCTGTGAGAGGCAAGGGCAGCTGGTCAGCCACAGTGTTGGCCTCAAAATGGGCCATTCCACAGCCCTCCACAGGAAACTCCAGGTCAGTCTCCACAAAGGGCTCCCATGACGTCTTAGCTCGGGGCCTTGGGCTCCTCAGTGGTGCCACACACTGGCAGAGCTCCTACAGGACCACGTGGGGCCAATGGTGTCAGCACACAGCCTGAGGTGTTTTCCCACCAAGAGCACCTAACACTCAGGGTAACAGGTGAATGTCTGCCGCCGCCACTCCCTCCCCCCCCAACACCTCTGCCCGCTCCACAAAGACCTCATTCTTGGTTCTCTGCCCTTCCTGACTGTAGGTGAAAGTTGCTCATGGTCCTCCCAGGGTTGGCCCAGCTCCTGGACCCTCAGGACATACAATAGACATGTGAGCAAGCATGCCTTCAATGACCACAGCAGTGTCAGTGTGGAGCAGAGTCAAATAGCAGCCAAAACTGCTGTCATCCAACCTTTAGAATTCCTGCTCCCCGGGGAGGCAAGAGGATATATAGCAGGGTGGGGCCAGGCACCTGTGGAAGGCGTCCGAGGACAGGTCCTGGCTGCTGTGAGACAGAAGTTGGTCGTTCTCCAGGAGGCTCTTCCACTTGGAGATGATCTGGGTGCCATAGCTGCCATCCTGCAGAACACTGACATCATCAGCCTTCCCAACTCGGCAACCAGGCCTCTAACCAAGCTGAAGGCTGCACCCAGCTCACCTCAAGAGGGTGCCAATCCTTGAAGTAGTCCTTCACAAGCGGATAAACGATGGCCACAACCAGGTCTGCACGGTCTGCCAGGCGGTACTCCTCATAGTACTTGTCCTGCAGTGTCTCAAAGATGTGGGCACACTCATCCAGCGTGAGGGGGTCGGTGCCATGAGGCTGCATGCGGCGCTCACACTCCTCTACCAGGGCCAGCACCTTGCTGAGGTTGGAGATGACACGCTCCTCGTGTGCTAGGACCTCGGCGGTCTTCTCGAGCTCGTGGGACAGGCTGACCACCATGTCCCGTTCATACTGCAGCTGACGGTCACTCTGGATGATCTCCTGCTCCGTGCGCTCAATGAGCAGCTGCAGGTTGTGCTCCAGCTCGGGCAGTGCAAAGCCTGGCACCTTGGCTTCCTTGCCGGCTGTGGGAGGCAGCTGTGCCAGTAAAGGCAGCCCTTCATCCGGCACACTGTGCTTGTGGCTGATCTGGCTGTAACTGTAGTACACCTTCTGCTCCCGGCCTGTCATGTCGATCACCTTGAAAAGAGCGGCAGGGGGGCACCCCT